CGGATATAGTGAATGCGGGGTCCGGGGAGAGTGGATATAGTGAATGCGGGGTCCGGGGAGAGCGGATATAATGAATGCGGGGTCCGGGGAGACCGGATATAGTGAATGCGGGGTCCGGGGAGAGCGGATATAGTGAATGCGGGGTCCGGGGAGAGCGGATATAGTGAATGCGGGGTCCGGGGAGAGCGGATATAGTGAATGCGGGGTCCGGGGAGAGCGGATATAGTGAATGCGGGGTCCGGGGAGAGCGGATATAGTGAATGCGGGGTCCGGGGAGAGCGGATATAGTGAATGCGGGGTCCGGGGAAACCGGATATAGTGAATGCGGGGTCCGGGGAGAGCGGATATAGTGAATGCAGGGTCCGGGGAGAGCGGATATAGTGAATGCGGGGTCCGGGGAAACCGGATATAGTGAATGCGGGGTCCGGGGAAACCGGATATAGTGAATGCGGGGTCCGGGGAGAGGGGATATAGTGAATGCGAGGTCCGGGGAGAGGGGATATAGTGAATGCGGGGTCCGGGGAGAGCGGATATAGTGAATGCGGGGTCCAGGGAGAGCGGATATAGTGAATGCGGGGTCCGGGGAGAGCGGATATAGTGAATGCGGGGTCCGGGGAAACCGGATATAGTGAATGCGGGGTCCGGGGAAACCGGATATAGTGAATGCGGGGTCCGGGGAGAGCGGATATAGTGAATGCGGGGTCCGGGGAAACCGGATATAGTGAATGCGGGGTCCGGGGAGAGCGGATATAGTGAATGCGGGGTCCGGGGAGAGCGGATATAGTGAATGCGGGGTCCGGGGAGAGCGGATATAGTGAATGCGGGGTCCGGGGAGAGGGGATATAGTGAATGCGAGGTCCGGGGAGAGGGGATATAGTGAATGCGGGGTCCGGGGAGAGCGGATATAGTGAATGCGGGGTCCAGGGAGAGCGGATATAGTGAATGCGGGGTCCAGGGAGAGCGGATATAGTGAATGCGGGGTCCGGGGAGAGCGGATATATGCGGGGTCCGGGGAGAGCGGATATATGAATGCAGGGGTTAGAAACACTAACTTTGAAGCCGCACATGAGGCTCGGCCTGTGCCCGGTGACAGGTCCTCTTTATAAAAACAGTACAATAAATTCTCAGCTGAAAATGAACTTTAAACAAGAACAAGTTCGAACGACGCAACCTTTACCATCGGCGATCTATCCGCCGCGTTTGTCTGTAGCTGAACCTCCTCGGATCCAGCGCCCAAATGTCAGGAACTTTCTGAAGGTGAAAATTTCCAACCAACTCCCCGACCCGCCACATTCACACAACACCAGCAGAAACGATCTATGTGTTTTATATAGCTCTGACATATACCGCGGGCGCTGCACAGAGAACACTGAGCCAGTCCCATCAGTCTCTGTACCAAAGGAGCTTACACTCTAATGTCCCCTCCCCCACAGTCCCATCAGTCTCTGTACCAAAGGAGCTTACACTCTAATGTCCCCTCCCCCACAGCCCCATCAGTCTCTGTACCAGAGGAGCTTACACTCTAATGTCCCCTCCCCCACAGTCACATCAGTCTCTGTACCAGAGGAGCTTACACTCTAATGTCCCCCCCCCCCACAGTCCCATCAGTCTCTGTACCAGAGGAGCTTACACTCTAATGTCCCCTCCCCCACAGTCCCATCAGTCTCTGTACCAGAGGAGCTTACACTCTAATGTCCCCCCCCCCCCCCACAGTCCCATCAGTCTCTGTACCAGAGGAGCTTACACTCTAATGTCCCCTCCCCCCACAGTCACATCAGTCTCTGTACCAGAGGAGCTTACACTCTAATGTCCCCTCCTCCACAGTCACATCAGTCTCTGTACCAGAGGAGCTTACACTCTAATGTCCCCTCCCCCACAGTCCCATCAGTCTCTGTACCAGGGGAGCTTACACTCTAATGTCCCCTCCCCCACAGTCCCATCAGTCTCTGTACCAGAGGAGCTTACACTCTAATGTCCCCCCCCCCCCACAGTCCCATCAGTCTCTGTACCAGAGGAGCTTACACTCTAATGTCCCCTCCCCCCACAGTCACATCAGTCTCTGTACCAGAGGAGCTTACACTCTAATGCCCCTCCCCCACAGTCACATCAGTCTCTGTACCAGAGGAGCTTACACTCTAATGTCCCCTCCCCCGCAGTCACACACTATTATTATACATGTATATAGCTCTGACATATACCGTGGCGCTGTACAGAATGATGTTGGATTGTTTTCTCCTTTAAATGAAGTTTGGAGTGAAGAGAAAAACAAAATGAAATATCTGAGAAAATCCGGCTTTATGTACCGGAGAAAATCCGATAATCCTGTCGGCCGCCCTCCGGGGCAGATACGTGTCTCCGCCGCCTGCCCCCGATCGCATTCTACCGACAGTTAATCCGACGTTCAGTCCATCAAACTCGCCGACATCGCCAGAACTCCGGCGTAATCCTGACCTGCGCAACTACGCGCTGACCAGAGGGGGCGATAAAGGGGTCGTGTCACCCCGCACTTGTCTGCCTGCAGCCTCTAATTGGCAGCTCTGCATAGCTGACTGCACAGTGCTGCATGATTATATATATTCTGTATATACTGTGTGTGTATATATATATTCTGTATATACTGTGTGTATATATATATATTCTGTATATACTGTGTGTGTATATATTCTGTATATATTGTGTGTATATGTATATATATATATTTATGTATATACTGTGTGTGTATATATTTTCTGTATATACTGTGTGTGTATATATATATTCTGTATATACTGTGTGTATATATTATATTGTATATACTGTGTTGTATATATATATATTCTGTATATACTGTGTGTATATATATATTTTCTGTATATACTGTGTGTTATATATATATTCTGTATATACTGTGTGTTATATATATTCTGTATATACTGTGTGTATATTTATATATTCTGTATATACTGTGTGTATATATATATTTTGTATATACTGTGTGTGTGTATATTTATAATATTGTGTGTATTATATATTCTGTATATACTGTGTGTGTATATATTCTGTATATACTGTGTGTATATTATTTTATATTTACTGTGTGTATATATATATATATTCTGTATATACTGTGTGTATATATATATATTCTTTATTTGATACTATTGTTTTATATATATATTTTGTATATACTGTGTGTGTATATATATATATTTGTATATACTGTGTGTATATAATATATTTTATATTATACTTTATATTGTATATTTTATTTATTTATGTATATTGTGTGTATATATATATTTTTGTTTATACTGTGTGTGTTTATATATATATATATTCTGTATATACTGTGTGTGTTTTATATATTTCTGTATATACTGTGTGTTATTTTATTTATTTTCTGTATATTTTACTGTTTTTTTATATTTTTTAATATTTGTATATACTGTGTGTTATATTATATTTGTATATACTGTGTGTGTATATATATTTTTTATATACTGTGTTTATATATATTATTCTGTATATTTTTTTTTTTTTATATATTTCTGTTTTTTTGTTTTATTTTGTATTATTATATTTTTTTTGTTTTTTTTTTTTTTTTTTTTTTTTTTATATTTTTATTTTTTTTATATTTGTTATATTTTGTTTTATTTATATATATTTTATTATTTTGTATATACTGTGTGTGTTTATATATATATTCTGTATATTTTGTTTTTGTTTTTATATTTTTTTATATATTGTTGTATTTATTATTATTGTTTACTTTTGTTTTTTTTTTATTTTTTTTTTACTGTGTTTATATATATTATGTTATTTTTTTTTTTTTTATTTTTTTATATACTTTGTGTATTTTTTATTTTATTTATATTTTATTTTGTATATACTTTTTTGTATATATTTTTTATACTACTGTGTGTTTATATTTTTTATTATATATATTTTGTTTTATTTTTTCTGTATATTTTGTTTGTATATATATATTTTGTTTTTTTTTTGTGTGTTTTTTTATATTTTTTTTTTTATATTTTTTTTTTTTATATATTTTGTATATTTTTTGTTTTTTTATTTTTTTTTTATACTTTTATTATATTATTTATATTTTGTTATAACTGTGTTTTATATATTTTTTTTTTTACTTTTTTTGTGTATATATATTTTTTTTTATTTTTGTTTTATTGTTTTATTTTTTTTATTATATTTTTTTTTTTATTTTTTTTTTTTTTTTTTTTTTTTTTTCTGTTTATATATTTATTTTTTATATATTTGTTTGTATTTTATATATTTTTTTTTTTTATTTTTTTGTTTATTTTTTTATTATTTGTGTTTTTTTTTTTTTTTGTTTATTCTGTGTGTTTTTATATATATTTTTTATTTTTTTTTTTTTTTTTTTTTTTTTTTTTTGTATTTACTGTGTTTTTTATATTTATTTTATTACTGTTTTTATTTTTTTTTTTTTTATTTTTTGTTATACTTTTTTTGTTTTATATATATATATTTTTTTTGTATATATTTGTGTTTTATTTTTATATTTTGTATATACTGTGTGTTGTATATATATATTTTTTTTATATACTGTTTGTTTTTATATATATTCTGTTTATACTTTTTGTGTTTATATTTTATATTTTTTGTATGGTTTTTTTTTTTTTTTTATATATATTTTTTCTGTATATACTGTGTTTTTTTTTTTTTATATATTTTGTATATACTGTGTATATATTTTTTTTTGTATATACTGTTTTTGTTTATATTTATATTTTATATATACTGTACTTTGTATATATATTATATATTATATACTAATTATATTATTATTCTGTGTATACTGTGTGTTTTTATATATATATACTGTATTTATATATTCTGTATATACTGTGTGTGTATATATATATATTCTGTATATACTGTGTGTGTATATATATATATTGTGTATATACTGTGTGTGTATATATGCCTGTGCAAGACTAAAGGGGAGGAGCCGGTACACCTGTGCAAGACTGAAAAGGAGGAGCTGGTACACCTGTGCAAGACTGAAGGGGAGGAGTCGGTACACCTGTGCAAGACTGAAGGGGAGGAGCCGGTACACCTGTGCAAGACTGAAGAGGAGGAGTCAGTACACCTGTGCAAGACTGAAGGGGAGGAGCCGGTACACCTGTAAAAGACTGGAGGGGAGGAGCCGGTACACCTGTAAAAGACTGGAGGGGAGGAGCCGGTACACCTGTACAAGACTGGAGGGGAGGAGCCGGTACACCTGTACAAGACTGAAGGGGAGGAGCCGATACACCTGTGCAAGACTGAAGGGGAGGAGTTGGTACACCTGTACAAGACTGAAGGGGAGGAGCCGGTACACCTGTACAAGACTGAAGGGAGGCCGGAGGGAGGATGTAAATATCTGGAAGATTTCTGGTATCTATTTTTATTATAGGAGTGGGAAAAATGATGTCCATATATGAGGTTGATAGTCTAGCTAAAGCCTACGCACCGATTTCCTCCCGCACCCGTATACTGTGTGATATATATACACATTTCCACCCTGACAGCTCGTCTATCCTCCGCCGTGTTGCAGCTTTTACTGTTTACTAACAGACTCGGGATCCTCCATACATTATTCAGCACACAATTGTACATTACGCGGCTCAGGCCATATATTATATACATTATTCTGCCCCCGGAGTCACCGGATTGCCGTATAGAAACAAAGCCGCTCTCACCCCCCCTCCCCCGCTCTCCCATTTGGATGTCACACATAAGAAGGAGACTCTGCCAGAGATATTGTTCAGCAATGATAATTATAGCGGATCGGTCCTGGAGGACTCCAACGGGAATGGCGCAATGTACCACTCTCTGTGCCATGGATGCCGGCGGTGGGGGGATGTATTTACTGGCATTTGTAATGCAGCTGATGGTATAAAGAGGAAACTGCCAATTGCAGGTGACCCCTCAGAGCCCAGTGCATGCTGGGAAATCACTGCACAGCTAGAAAGGCTGCATGGGGATACAATGAGTCTGATCTATTCATGAACAGTACAGACAGGCCCATAAAATGGGAGCCCATAGACTCCGCCCATCCAATGGGAGCCCATAGACTCCGCCCATCCAATGGGAGCCCATAGACTTCCGCCCATCCAATGGAAGCCCATAGACTCCGCCCATCCAATGGAAGCCCATAGACTCCGCCCATCCAATGGAAGCCCATAGACTCCGCCCATCCTATGGAAGCCCATAGACTCCACCCATCCTATGGAAGCCCATAGACTCCACCCATCCTATGGAAGCCCATAGACTCCACCCATCCTATGGAAGCCCATAGACTCCACCCATCCTATGGAAGCCCATAGACTCCACCCATCCTATGGAAGCCCATAGACTCCACCCATCCTATGGAAGCCCATAGACTCCGCCCATCCTATGGAAGCCCATAGACTCCGCCCATCCAATGGAAGCCCATAGACTCCGCCCATCCAATGGAAGCCCATAGACTCCACCCATCCAATGGAAGCCCATTGCTTATATAATGAGGGCCCATAGAGTTGGCTCATATAATGAGGGCCCATAGAGTTGGCTCATATAATGGGAGCACATAGACTCTTCCCATATAATGGGAGCCCATAGACTTTGCCCATGTAATGGGAATCTATAGACTCCACTGACACAATGGAAGCCCAAAAATGGGGCCCATAGACTCAACCCCTAGAATGGGGGCCTAGAGACTCGGCCCATACACTCCACGCACAAAATGGGAGCCCCTAGACTCCATTCATATAATGGGAGCCCATAGACTCTTCCCATGTAATGGGAGCCCATAGACTTTGCCCATGTAATGGGAGCCCATAGACTTTGCCCATGTAATGGGAGCCCATAGACTTTGCCCATGTAATGGGAGCCCATAGACTTTGCCCATGTAATGGGAATCTATAGACTCCACTGACACAATGGAAGCCCAAAAATGGGGCCCATAGACCCGGCCCCTAGAATGGGGACCTAGAGACTCAGCCCATACACTCCACTCACAAATGGGAGCCCATGGACTCTTCCCACATAGTGGGAGCCCATAGAGTGCGGGGTCGGATACGACGAGTGCGGGGTCCGACAGGACAAGTGGGGTCAGACAGGACGAGTGGGGGGTCAGATATGACGAATGGGGGGTCGGATATGATAAAGGGGGGGGTCGGATATGATGAAGGGGGGGGGGGGGTCGGATATGACGAATGGGGGGGGTTGGATATGACGAATGGGGGGGGTCGGATATGATGAATAGGGGGTTGGATATGACAAATGGGGGGTTGGATATGATGAATGAGGAGTTGGATATGACGAATGGGGTGTCGGATATGATGAATGGGGGGATCGGTATTACCAGTGGGGGGGTTGGATATGATGAATGGGGGGGTTGGGTATGACGAGTGGGGGGGTTGGGTATGATGAATGGGGGGGGGTTGGGTATGATGAATGGGGGGGGGTTGGGTATGACGAGTGGGGGGGTTGGGTATGATGAGTGGGGGGGGGTTAAGTATGACGAGTGAGGGGGTTGGGTATGATGAGTGGGCGGGGGTTAAGTATGACGAGTGGGGGGGTTTGGGTATGAGTGGGGGGGTTGGGTATGATGAGTGGGGGGTTGGGTATGATGAGTGGGGGGGTTGGGTATGATGAGGGGGGGGTTGGGTATGATGAGTGGGGGGGGGTTAAGTATGACGAGTGAGGGGGTTGGGTATGATGAGTGGGCGGGGGTTAAGTATGACGAGTGGGGGGGTTGGGTATGATGAGTGGGGGGGTTGGGTATGATGAGTGGGGGGGTTGGGTATGACGAGGGGGGGGTTGGGTATGACGAGGGGGGGGGTTGGGTATGACGAGTGGGGGGTTGGGTATGACGAGGGGGGAGGGTTGGGTATGACGAAGGGGGGGTTGGGTATGACGAGAGGGGGGGGGTTGAGTATGATGAGTGGGGGGGGTTGGGTATGACGAGTGAGGGGGTTGGGTATGATGAGTGGCGGGGGTTAAGTATGACGAGTGGGGGGGTTGGGTATGATGAGTGGGGGGGTTGGGTATGATGAGTGGGGGGGTTGGGTATGATGAGTGGGGGGTTGGGTATGACGAGGGGGGGGTTGGGTATGACGAGGGGGGGGGTTGGGTATGACGAGTGGGGGGTTGGGTATGACGAGGGGGGAGGGTTGGGTATGACGAAGGGGGGGTTGGGTATGACGAGGGGGGGGTTGAGTATGATGAGTGGGGGGGGTTGGGTATGACGAGTGGGGGGGTCGGATATAGCATTCCATAGTGCTCAGGGTTTCCTTTAGTTTTCCTATAAGATCTCATTCATCCTCCACTCCCTATAGAAAAGAGTAGAGGTGCAGCTGCGGCTGTCATTGGTTGAGGAGTGCAGGGGGCGGGCTCTGGAGCTCATGCGTTGGCCATCCTCCTCTACGCCCGTTTATGGGCGGGTAACCCCAATAACCATTATCTCGATGTGCGCTACTCCTGGGAACGGGAAATAAACGGGAATCCTGAGATCACACATGACACGATCTCTCAGAGGATTCGGTTTGTTCCAGGACACCGGTGACACCAAGAAAACACGAATCGCAGATTCTGCCGCGTTCCTGCGACTTTCCTAACAAGAACATTTCCGGCTCCCCTGTAACCGCTCGCCCCATTAATCTAGATCTGCCGCCATTTCTTTTTTCGCTCGCTATTTGTCTCTCTGCCCGCTCAATAAATATGAAGATGAAACAATTTGGAGCGCCGACATGAGAGCGCGGCGGTGAGTCCTATCGGCCATCGATGTCTCGGGGAGAGCGGCGCCGGAGTGAGAAGTGTTGGCGTTCGATGGAGAATCCATACTGCAGATAATTACATGGAAGGACGCCGCGCCTCCAGCGCTCCGCCTGTCACTCATCATCTCCAGCCTGGAAGTCTCCGTTATGAGGAGCGCTAATGAATCTCAGATATTGGCGGCGGATTGACTGCGAGCGCCTGAATGATGTGCGCAGATTATCGAGACCCGCGAGACTGTTTATCAAACCGCCAGAATTGCCTGACCCACCATGCAGAACCCGGCGTGATTATTTATTAGTCTGCTTCCGCCTCCTGCGCCAAAAAAAAAATGTTCCATATATTTGCATGAATAAATCCCTGACATGTCACGGTGTACAGCATCTCCTCAGTCTCCCCTCCCCCAGGGATCAGACTGTACATTGTAACTTTGTAGAAGGAGGAGTCATCCCCTCAGTCTCCCCTCCCCCAGTGATCAGACTGTACATTGTAACTTTGTAGGAGAAGGAAGCATTTCCTCAGTCTCCCCTCCCCCAGGGATCAGACTGTACATTGTAACTTTGTAGGAGGAGGAGGCATTTCCTCAGTCTCCCCTCCCCCAGAGATCAGACTGTACATTGTAACTTTGTAGAAGGAGAAGGAAGCATTTCCTCAGTCCCCTCCCCCAGTGATCAGACTGTACATTGTAACTTTGTAGGAGGAGGAGAGAGCGTTTCCTCAGTCTCCCCTCCCCCAGTGATCAGACTGTATATTGTAACTTTGTAGAAGGAGGAGGAGGCATTTCCTCAGTCTCCCCTCCCCCAGTGATCAGACTGTACATTGTAACTTTGTAGAAGGAGGAGGAGGCATTTCCTCAATCTCCCCTCCCCCAGTGATCAGACTGTACATTGTAACTTTGTAGGAGGAGGAGGCATTTCCTCAGTCTCCCCTCCCCCAGTGATCAGACTGTACAAGGAGGAGGAGCATTTCCTCAGTCTCCTCCCCCACTTATCAGACTGTACATTATAACTTTGTAGAAGGGGGAGGCGGCATTTCCTTAGTCTCCTCCCCCAGTGATCAGACTGTACATTGTAACTTTGTAGAAGGAGGAGGAGACATTTCCTCAATCTCCCCTCCCCCAGTGATCAGACTGTACAAGGAGGAGGAGCATTTCCTCAGTCTCCTCCCCCACTGATCAGACTGTACATTGTAGTAGCTTGGTAGTAAGGCTCCCATCACTCCATGCGTTCCCATTCATTTCAATGGGCTGCCCCATTCGTGAGAAAGGCACACAAAAAAATGCACCTGACCTTCAGCAAGATCGTGCTGCACCATGCGTTTTGGGGCACGTGAACACATCGTGAATGAAGGGCACCGAGCTGCACGTCTGCTGCAGGGTGTTCCTGACATGGACAAAGTGTGACTGCAGCAGGGGCTGATCTGTGTCAGACATTTGTGAACACAGCTAAGAACTGCACAGGCACCAGGATTTCCATGATGATGTCATCTCTGAGCCAGCATCAGTCCAGGAAGTAGGTGGTGACCCTGGATGATGCCTGAACAAAGATGGCGCCGCCCTACTGGAAGGAAAAGCAGA